AAGTTGCTGGGAAGTTGCTCGGGTGCTGGGAGCAGGCTTTTAAAGTGCCGCCCGAGCAGGACCACCGAGCTGGGAAATGGGGCACCAAGGCAGGGCAAGGCTCCACCAGCAGCGGCCTAGCTTTAGGTGGCTCCAAGCAGCCCGCCCTGCCCGCCGGGTGGAACCCTTCCCGCTCCTCGGCGGGAAGACGCTCCAGCCTGCAAGCTTTGCCTTTGCAAAGTTTAAGCCTGGAAGCCTCGGGAAAAAAAGGGGGATCGGCGGGGACTCACCTTCGGAGAGGTCGCACTCGAAGGTGATTTCGAACTCCCAGCCGAGGCCTTTGCAAATTTCTTTTCTTTCCTACCCCTAGATTGCTCCGCACTGTTTTGCAGCTTTGGGGGCCATGCGGCACAGGGCAATACGTGGCCGGATTGGACAGACCAATGGCAGCGATTTTTTTTCAGGGGCGGGCCGCATTGGACAGACCAACGGGCCGGATGTGGCCCGCGGGCCGTAGTTTGCCCACCCCTGGTATAAGACATGTAGCCCCTGGGTTAGATGCAGCAACTTTCAAAGTTATGACTGCACTGAATATGTGATATGTGACCATTCCTCATATTTTCAGCTATCACAGTGTCTCTGCAGTCACCTCTCACAACTGCAACATTGCAGCAAGCTGTGGTCATGTGATTGCAATTTCCTATGTTTTCAGCTGCCTTTCCACAAGCAAATTCAATGGCAGGAAGTCAGAAGTTGTGGCTACATTTAATGAGCTACAGGGTCTTTGCATAACAAAATCAACCAGGACTGCTGCATAATCCCACAATATCACATGTTGTTTAGGATGGAAATTCAAATCCCAATTGCCATTATAAATTAGTGGTAGTTGAACCTCAGCCAAATGGCAAAATATACAAAATGGAATTGAGTTTTTTAAATAATACTTTTGCCTAAAATGATATCTGTGACATTCTTGAAATGGCCATAGCTCATATATTAACACTGAAGAGAAGGGTAATAAAGTTCCCTCCACACTGAACATTCCCCTAGTCATGGGTTTCTTTAGCTCTACCAAATTCAGAACAATTCTGCAGCATTTTATTTGATCTGTGATATAAGGAGTTTCTAGTTGATGAGAATTTCCTATCTCATCCTGGCTCACTTGAAGCCACAGCACTATGGCTCCTAAACACCATTTCATTCATTTTTAAATTAAGTGACCAGTGTTGCCTCCCCCTGAAAACAAATACAATGAGGTACTGAAAAAAGATTGGAATGGAGATGGGGAATGAGAGGTGTGTGGAAACTGGTTTTTATGCTTTCCCCTGGCCACTTTTGTGGAGAACTGAGTATTACAAGGGTGACACTGTTGAGGAAACTGAAGTGTGTGATACTCTTCCTACTTCACCTGCATCTGTTCTCTGCATCTCTGACTTGTCAGCCAGGCTATTTTTGGACACAAGCTAGCAGTTCTTCAAAAAACGCAATAGACCCATGTTCAGAAATAGCCTGACAGACAGGTCAAAGACAAGAAGGAAGTCTTGTGAGATGCCTCTGGATGTTCCTTCCTGCCTCCTTCCTGGCTGTGACTGTAAACAGAGTCAAGAGACATAAAGGTAGAGCATGTGCTGAAGCAGGAGGAAAAGATCAATAATGAGGGAATTCTATTCTTGATTGCCAGAGAATGGCAGGGCTGCCAGCAAATGACTTTTCCTGCCAGCAAATTTCCATCCTGCATTTAGGAATAGCAGGTTAAATTGGCACAAAAGACACACACACCAGCAAAATAATAAATATAGTAAAAGCATGGCCACAGGAAACACCTTGTCAACAGAAGTAATACAAAACTAAAGCACTCATTCGTGATAGAACCCGGCTGCCTTTCCTGGTTTAAACTGATTTTTGCAGAGCTCAGGTGTAGAACTTTCTCAAAACAGCACTAAATCTATGTATACAAGAAGCCTGGACAGGCATTACATACTGTAGGTGGATGGTTCAGAAGCCAGATGTCCCAGTTCATCTGTACATAAAGCCCAAGTGAATATAGGAGGCAATGGCCAGCAACTGCACAGAAGGGTCTAGTGACTGCAGCAGCTTGAAGTGGCCAAGGAGAGCTGGACAGATCACCCTAACTCTTCCATCAACCACATATTCAGTGAGACGTACTGGATTGTGTACAGGGCAGAAATTGTTCCAGGACAGAAAGAAATCCATGATAGAGAAACTAAAGATGAATTGAACTGTATCGATATGGGCTCAAAATGAATAAAGGCAACATTATGAGGAAATGTATATAAAATATTTATAGAACAAATGGATAAAAATATTATTGCCAAGACTAGGGAGACATAAGAAATGAACCCCATCATTCAAATATAATAATCAAAGGTATGGCCTGGGGATTTTTAACTATGTAAGCAGAAACAGAAGAGAAGGTGTTTTGAATAAAAAGCCCCCTCTTTTCACAGCCTGTTTCCCAGATGCCTGAGGAATTTGTTCAAGTACTTCTTTGTCTCACTTGTCATAGGAATACTTTTGACAAAAAGGCTCTTGTACAGGGTTAGTTTTGTTTAGTAAATAAGATAGACCTTTGTTCTATACCTATTCCTGCACAAAATTAAAAAAAAAAACAGAAAACATTGAAAAATACAAATGTGTGGTTGGTTAGAGAAAGAAGACTGCAATTTTATGGGGGTGATATTTGAATTAAAGAAAGAAGCATCATCATTTTTAATAATCCAGGGCTGGACCTATGCATTCAGAAAGTTGGAAGAGAAATAGTGTGCTCATAAATTCAGCATGAGTAAAGAGAATTTTCATTGTTCTAAATCTGTTGATTTGTGCAAAACAATATTTTATTTATTTATTTATTTATTTATTTATTTATTTATTCATTCATTCATTCATTTATCTTCATTGCCCTCCATCTCACTGTCAAATGAATCTTTTTTTGTTGTAATGCAAAATGACTAAAACATTTCTGTTCCTTGTTAGTCAGTGACTAAGATGACAAACTCCCATAATTGTTCTAGGATGAGCTATATATTTTTAATTTCAGTCAAAATTATTTTAGGTTCATGGTAAACCAATAATGTGAAATGTCAGTAATACACTCCAATCATTATTTAGTATGTCTATATGGCATCTGGTAGGTGAACATAAAGATAGTTGAAGTTGTGACTGATGATCATAATAATGTGCCACCTGAGGTGATGATGAATGTCAGTTGAATACAAAATATGTTCTCTGTGCTATAGCCTTTAGGTACCACTGTGTTAAACTCAGGTTCATTTAACTGCAGACTACGGCTTACAATTAGATGCTTAACTGAAGTAAACAAATTTAAGACATCAATACATATAATACATTAGGAATTGCAATGAAGTTCTTATATTTTGCCATTGTTGACCCCAAAATCAAAATACTTACCACATACACAAAGAAAGGAAGTCTCATTTCCAAGGCACTTTCTTTCGTCATCCTTCAAACATATCACTTTGTCACAGGGGTGTACACAGTTTGTGTCTCCTTTCCCTGGTTGATCGTACTGTGATACTTGTATTTCTGAGATATTATTCTGAGAAGTTAAATTATTGGCAGCAGAAGTCTTGCCTATTATAAAAACAAAACAAAACCCATTCATTATTGAACTATTATGGTATAGTGGATTTTATATGTATCTGGCTTTATAATGGTAAAACAGAGAAAACCTTGGTATAGAGACAAGTATATTAATTGACTGATTGAAAGAGTGGTATTGCATTTGGGAATAAAAATGAAAGGCAAGAAAAAATAGCAATAGCAATAGCACTTAGACTTATATACCACTTTATAGTGCTTTACAGCCCCCTCTAAGCGGTTTACCGAATCAGCATATTGCCCCAACATTTTGGGTCCTCATTTTACCCGCCACAGAAGGATGGAAGGCTGAGACTACATCACCAACATAAAAAATAGTGAATATAATATAAATGTTATAATGATTAAAATAATATAACAGGATTAAAGAATAAACTTACAAAAAAGATTCATCTAATAACCATAGACAATAATATAATATTAATTCAGTCCTAAAATAATGTATGTTTAAATATGATTCATTGGTTGGTTGGTTGGTTTACTTACCTACTTATTTATTTGTATCCCACCTTTATTATTTTTATAAATAACACAAAGCGACAAACTTCCAATGCACCTTCCTCTTCCTGTTTTCCCCATAACAAAACCCAGTGAGGTAGGTTGGATTGAGAAAGACTGGCCCAAAATAACCCAACTGGCTTTTATGGCTAAGTGGGACTTGAACTTATAGTCTGCTGCTTTCTAGTTTGGTACCTTAACCACTATTACAAATTGGTTCTCATATATCACAATTTTGTTTCATCTGCTCGTTTTTAGAACAAAGATTTTTCACTCAAGATCATTTCATTCTTGAAATGATCAAGAATGTGAGCATTTCACATTCTCATGTTTGGACTACAGCAATGCACTCTACATGGGACTTGAAGAGCGTTTGGAAGCTACAACTGGTGCAGATTGTAGTGGTGCAGAGTGTTCTATCTTGGGGGCCCTAGGGTGGCCCATGTTACTCCATTGATTATTACTTTTAAAGCCCTTCATCACATGAGTCCAGCTTGCTTAAGAAACTGTCTGACCTAATGGATTGACCCTACCCATGCTGACAGAGGGCGTCTGTTGGGGAATTTTGGCTGGATGCAGAAGAGCATTCTTTGCCCTTTGGAACATCTTGACTCATGAGGTAAGATTGGCTCCAACCCTTCTGACCATCCATAAGGCTCTGAAGACCTGACTCTGCTAGCTGTCTTGGGGAACCAACAGGGGAGTATCACTGATGATTTAAGAGAAGATCCCAACACCGCTCCTCCCATGCATCCTACTCTCTTCCAACTTTTGTGGAATCCTTTACTTTGTATTGTAATTGTATTTTTATTGTTCTTAGAAATATTTATCTTGTAAGGATTTATTGCTTTTAATATTGTAATCCACCCAGATTCACTTCAAATCGAGATGGAGGGGACAAACACAATTCATAAAATAAATTAATTTCCAACCTTTTTAAAACTTACTTTGAGAAGTACAATAAATATGAAATAGTATTTTATGGTAAATTAAAATTTATTAATGCCTAAACCTCAAAATCTTCATTTTTCACTTCACAATTCATATAATACATACAGAGACACACAGACACACACACACATATTAATGAAATATATGCATAATCTATTTTAATCTAATTCTCAAGCAAATATTGTAGGTGAAACATACTCAATACATAATCTGTCAACATCTTTCAATCAACTACTATATTCACAACCAACTGAATTAAAGTATCAGTTCTTAGTTAGCCAAAGTATTCCATTAAAACCTCTTCTCGGCTGCTTGGGTTCTATAATCATTCCAAAACAAATAGTCATCAAAACTAAAGTCACATTATATAACATAGTTAAAATCCTAGGTTAAAATTATCAACATCAAAGGATAATCCCAGATATTCGAGGATATCCTGAGGTTTTAAGCTTGCTATAAAAAAAACCACAACTTATCTGTCTTTATATCATACAAATTGGCAGTGGAGAAAAGAAGAATCATTGTGATTGCTAATATAAAAGAACCTTATTTTTGGAACAGTTTTAAAGTGTCTTCATAGTGCTTTTCTTAGCTCACATGTTTACCTCATCAAAGTCCTGAGAAACAGCAGGTAACTGTTTAAGGAACTTCACAAACGCTATAATTACATGGTTGGTTTACTTATAAAGCTCAATTTGTTGTGACCATAGTTGAGAGTAAATCCTATTCTATATTTATTCAACTATATTATCTATCTTTCTATCTATCTGAAAATTTGAATAAAATAAATCAGATGAGTACACAGATCTCAAATTTAAATGAGAATACTTGCTAATGTGTTACTAAAACAAAACTGCAATTTATATATCACTCTTACTTGAGTAAATATTTAAAATTTTAAATATATTATTTGTCTGCATAATTAAACATGCCTTATATTGTCATTTATAATGAATACAGGTGTATATAATTATATTGGTTGATTCAGTGGCTTCAAAAATTAGGAACTGTTTGTTCACAATTCACTAACACATATATAACCAGTAAGAGAAATAACTTCCATTATTTAATAAAAATATTAAAAAGGACATGACCAGTACATATATATCTGAATTTGTAATATTCTTTATAATATATATTCACTGATTCTGGAATCATGAATGAACATGTAAATGGATTTGGTGTTTCAAATAAAAAAAATCAGTATGATAAAACCTTGAAATCTATTTTCAAAATTATATACAACTGGCCTAAGTGATTTGCGATTATTTTTCTTAGAATATTGAATCATTTACTCAAGGACATATTAAGAAAAAAGGAAGCCTAAGAATTATTGGTGCTTAACTTCCCATTTTACCCACTGAATTATGTGCAAAGCCCTTCAATCAGTTTTATTTTTATTATAAATGCAGTAAGCAAAAAGACATGATAAATGTACTTCAAAAAGTAGACTTAATTACCCCTTTTGATGCTTTGATGATGATGACACCAAGATTTTGCTGAGATTTATTGACACCTTTAAAAAAGGGATAAGGGTCTGTACAAAATTTCCATTTCCATTCAGCTGCCTATCATGCGAATTTTATAAAATAAAGTTTGACTTACCACTAATAATGGTCAGGATCATCAACATGCATGGCAGGGTAAATGAAAAACTGAAATCCATTTTAAACATCTTCTTGCACTGCATGCTGAGAAGATCTAGCTTTGCTGTTAAACCAATGTACTACTCAGGATATGATGTCAGAAGCAGTAACAAAAAATGAAATAAAAAAAAGAACGAATACTGGAAGGATTCAAGATTAATGTAGAATCAAAATAGAATGGAAGGTTGTTTGGTTGACTGAACTCATGCTATAGCCACATTAGCAAGATGATCTATTTCAATGGCCATATACGCAGGAAGTGGGGTGTGTAAGAGTAAATTCAGAAGATGAGATGAAATAGTAATCTAAGCAAGACCATCTTAGCCTACAGGTCAAAGCTAAGAAAAAAAATCAAAGCAAATGCTGACGTTACACCAGTTTCCTGTTTTTAAGTCTTTTCTTAAATATATGAAGTGAATAATGACAGATTTTCTTTAAAAAAAGCATCATCCATTAAATATCCAGAAATAGTGAACCAAGCTAATGCAAACACTGTGTTTTGAAACAAAATTGTAAAATTCTATTATACTTATCCATATTGTATTGTATATAAGCTTAGCCAATATATTCTGAGCATTAAGGAGAACTGATGTTTTTGTTTCGCTTCTATAGAAAGAGAAGCAACAGGGAAAGCTTAAAATGCACCAAGACTTGTTATTTATAAACAATATTACAAGTCACAGCTGAAATCTGTAATCTTCTAGAAATGGTGAGTCCCCAATTGCTTATCATCTCCAGCTAGTATGAATCATGGCCAAGGAAGATGGTAAACATCATATAACTTCTATAAGTGAAATTCATATATACCCATTCACTTCTACAAGTGAAAGAGTATTTCTTATATTAAATATTAAAATTAATGTACTGTACTTTAGTAACCTAACAAGCTGAGATCAAAAATAATGGCTAGTTTGTAGAGATAGAACTTGCTTAGTGATTGCCTCAGGCAGTGACTATTTGAGGTTATGTCAAAAATAAAAAGTAACTTTGAAACCAATGCTTGTTTTTGCAACTTTCACAGCATCTCCCACCCCTCACTCTCCCTCCCTCCCCCCCACGTCGTCTGTTTACCATTGCAGTCAGTTAGTATGCATTGTTAACCTGACTTACTTTTTTCTTTACTTGTAATGCCTAGAGATTGCTTAAACAATTTCAACAATGTACCATGTCTCCCACAGGCATCATAAGATAGCAAGCTCAGCATTCTGTCCTTAATTAGGTGGCTTGTAGCTGCTGCCTGTAACTGACAGACTTCAAACACTTTCACACCAACAGGTTTGTTTGCCCTCCGAAGCAACTTGGGGGATTCATACCAATGAGCGTTCTAGACAAAAACAGCACTCGTGCATTCCCTTCAATGTGTATTCCCCATTATGTACATGCTTGTTCTCTTGTAATTTCTTTCTCTCCAGTGAATGTAAATAAAAACATGATTTTCCTTCTTGTTATTATCCTTGTACTGGAGTGAGCATTCTAAAGAGTGGGAGAAAAGGAAAGGTGAAATAAAATCGCAGTCATGGGATTTTTCACTTAGCAACTTGGCGATCAAGTTACCAGTTCTCCCATTGTGGTGGCTAATTCAGAATTACCTATAATTGAACTATGTCAGAACAATTATGTTTATTCTACAATATCTGCTGGGGCCTGCAAGCATACAGAATATGAATATTCTCTCAGAGACTGAAACAAAAACGTTATTGTAGACAAGACTTGAATTTATGCTTTTTACAATATAATATCCTTCAGCAGCCTCTAGACAACTTAAATCCATTCTCCCATAGTTCCAAGATAGCAGTGGCAAGGGGAAAGATTTTTTTACAGACTAAGACCAAGAATGAAATGGGACAATCTAGCCAGAGCTGAGTTTTTTGTTTACATACAGCAGATGGAATCTTGAAACTTTTACTACTCCTAGCTTAAGAATATACCCTGGAAGATTCTTGGACATGGGTGTCTTCATGTTTTTCCTCTGTCTTCTATGGGCCTTCTATATATACCATATTTGCATATATATTGATCCAATGTATAGTATATAATATATCTTCTATTTCCTGATAAAAATTCTATTTTACAAAATAAAATTAGGCAGAGTCAAGTTTACAGTTTGCATGTTGGTTAATTTCCCACATACCCCCAAAATATCAGACTCTATTGCTAAAAGCGATAGAACTGACTGAAGGTCATGATAACTTAATTTTGACTCTACTGCTCTCTCTTTAAAAAAAAAAATTCAGTGATCTAAGATGTGACAAAAATAGCCATCCGTGAGAAAAGCAGTCATCTGAATCTCCAGACATCTGCAGGCCAGCACAGAGGGGAGAAAAGACATTTGCAATTAGAAAGGTACCCATGGATGCCCTTGTCCTTTGTGTTTTGGATTTGTGCCAGCTCTATGCTAATAGGCTGCTCTTCTTGTTCCATCCTAAATAAAATAGGTGGACTAAGAGAATGGGGTCTTGCAATTGTGTCTATATTTGCACAGCAGCATCATGAGCTATAAAAGAGCCAATCCCATTTTAGCCTGTGTTATTGCACAACCCAAAATGTGTACTTACTTTTGAATTCATAATATCATGTGGACTTAAAAAATGATTAATTAAGTTCAACGTGGTTCAATACTTTATGGTCTTGAAAAAAAAATAGCTTCTTTCTTCCAAGAATCCTAAAAGATGAGAGGAAATAGTTCTTTTTATTTCTTAGAAATGGCAATTATTCCGGCCATTCTTGCTGGTCTTCTTGTGATATCTATTCTGAGAATAAACACGGCACAAATGAGAAAATTATATATGTGTGTGTGTGTGTGTGTGTGTGTGTGTGTGTTATTCAGCTTTGTTCAGGTATTTTCAGAAGCCTGATGATGGCAGATGAGATTCTGTCAAAACGTTGCTACAACTTTAAAAGCACAACTATAATGACGTGGGAAAATACCCGAATAAAGCTGAATAACATACATGCAAGTACCTGCGAAAACTTAAGAATATATATATATGTTTTCTTAAGTTCTTAAATTCTTAAAAATCTCCACACCACAAGCCAGGCAAACACCTGGGCACAAACAGATCCCCCCTGATACTTCCAGCTCAAACACATCCCAACCAGGCACCCAGATGAAACCCAGCTTCCTAACTAATGATAGCCGTCCATTTACCCAAAGCCAAGCTGCACTAAAGGCCTCCAATAAAGCAACACAATGCTGCCAGCCAATCAAGATACAAAAAGAGCCAAAAAACAGACAGAAGATATTAGAGACACCAATCAAGCAGAACATAGCAAACTCCGAGACCAATAAACACAGACCAAGACTCCCAACCAATCAGGATGAAGAAGAAACCATTCTGGCACAGCAATAGGCTGCCCCAAATTTAAATCTGAAACCACTGTAAAAGTCTGACTCACAGACTGACACAATACAGAAGCCTGATGATGGCAGATGAGATTCTGCTGAAACGTTGCTACAACTTTAAAAGCACCACTACTATGACGTGGGAAAATACCCGAACAAAGCTGAAGGCCATATATATATTTCTGAGGTTTTCGTGGGTATTTGGTTATTCGGGTTTTCTCCCATGTAAAATTGGAAGTATTTTGGTGACGTTTCGATGAAATCTCATTTGTCATCTTCAGGCTTGTGTCTTCGGCTTTGTGCTTCTTGGAGTAATGTGAGCTTGTAGCTGTTTTTTCTTTTAACTGCCAGTGGAAGTGCGACTTGACTGGGTGGGGGCTTGGCTGTGTTCTGATTGGGTGGGGGGGAGTGTTCTCATTGGTTGGGGGCCTGGCTGTGATCTGATTGGTTGGGGGGTTGGCTGTGTTCTGATTGGCTGGGAGTGTGTTCTGTTCAGGTGGGGGCTTGGGTGTGTTCAGGTTAGTCTTAGTTGTCGGGAGATTTGAGCTGGTGAGCTGTGATTCATGGTTTCAGGTCTTTTGGTGCCATTGAAGTCGAAGCTATGACCTGTTGCTTTCATGTGTTGGATTAGTGAGGAAGTGTGTTCCAGCTTTTTTACTGCATTTTTGTGTTCATCCAGGTGGGTACTTATTCTTCTATTGGTCTGTCCAATGTATGTGGCAGGACATGATGCACAGGGGACTTCATATATGCCTTGGTTTTCCAGGTCAGTTTTATCTTTGGGGTTTCTTAGGATGGCGGCTATTTTTCTGTCTGTTTTGAAGGCAGTCTTGATGTGATGCCTGTGTAGTATCTTACTGATTTTGTCTGTAGTACCTCTTATGTAGGGCAGGACAGCTGTTCCATAGGTCTGTTCATCTTCTAGGTCTCCATTATGTCTCAGTGTGTTTTTGTGGATCAAGCTGGTGATTTTGCTTTTGTGGAAGCCGTTAGCTGTCAGTACTTTAGTCAGGGTGCATAGAAGAGATGAATAGAAGAGATGATTCCACCAGACTGTCAATTATTTGGAAGCCTGCACTCACAAACAAAAAAATCTCCATACCACAAGCCAGGCAAACACCTGGGCACAAACAGATCCCCCCTGATACCTCCTAGCTCAAACACACCCGAACCAGGCACCCAGATGAAACCTAGCTTCCTAATAAATGATAGCCGTCCATTTACTTGGAGCCAAGCTGCACTAAAAGCCTCCAATACAGGAACACAATGTTGCCAGCCAATCAAGACAAAAAAAAGCCACAAAACAGACAGAAGATATTAGAAACACCAATCAAGCAGAAAACAGCAAATTCTAAGACCAATAAACACAGACCAAGACTCCCAACCAATCAGGATGAAGAAAAAACCATTCTGGCACAGCAGTAGGCTAGCCCCAAATTTAAAACTGAAATGGCTATGAAAGTCTGACTCACAGACGAACACAATACAGAAGCCTGATGATGGCAGATGAGATTCTGCCAAAACATTGCTACAACTTTAAAAGCACAACT